CTTAGCCCATTCGAGCCCCTCCGCGCCCTCCCTGGCTGAGAAGGGCACCCCCTCCTCCAGGGAGCGTCCCTGGTCGGTCCCCCAGCTAGGAGCGACCAACCCTCGTTGCCCCCACCCTGCTCGCTCTGGGTCTGCAGGGCCTGAGCGAGCAGCCAGAGGACCCAGTGCGGCCCCGGCCCACCCCCACCTCTCGGAAGGCGACGAGCAGCTCGCGCACCCCCAGCATGTGCGCCGTCTCTTCCCGCAGTTTCGGGGCCATCAGTTCCACGAACTCTTCAAAGTCCACGCGGCCCCCCACTGTGGACAGAGCGTCACGATGGCTTCGACTGGGGCCCACGGACGACTTCGGGGCCAGCACCTTCCCCTGCTCTCTACCTGGGAAGGAACGCTGGAGCCGGGCTGGGGGCCTCCTTTCCTGGGCTGCTGGGGATCAGGGCTGCTCTGCACTCGGGGTAGGGGAAATGCACCAACCAGACTTTGAGCCAGTCTGCCCTGAGTTCGAATCCTGGCTCCAGGTGACTGACTTGAGTTAGGAGGTCCTGTAGGGTGGGGCCAGGAGACCCTTGCTACACAAGGGGAGCAGGGAAGAGGGGGTCCGAATAAAAGCTCGTGGCTATAAAGCTGCAGCCCGGTTCACCAGTTCCTCAGAGCCAGTAGAACTTTGCCCCCATAAGGTTGCAATGGCTGCTAGTTCAGCACTAGCTAGCCAGGCCTTATTTCAGCGGTCCCTCAGGGTGGAGCCTCCCAGTTCACCGCCAAGTATGTCACCATCTGCATGCACCTCCCGGGGTCCCCTGGAGCCCGTTAAACCAAATCCAACCCACACCTGCTGCTGGTGGAGTGGAAGCAGATTCCACCTCAGAGCAACTTCAAAGGACAGAGCAGAAGTGCTTCCCAGGGCCCCTGAGAGATCTGATGAAATTGAGCTGCCAGCCTTGCAGGTTAGCATATCAATGCTTGATGCTTTGTGCCACTAGAGCTACTCATTAAAACTTAACTGCCATCGAGTCCACACTGACGAGAGGCCTACCAAGCTGCCCCTGTGGGTTTCTGAGCCTCACTCTTCTCGGGAGTAGAAAGCCCGGTTTCGAACTGCTGACCTTTTGGTTAGCAGCTGAACGCTGGACGCACTGTCACCACCAGAGATCATTAGGCCACGATAAAAGTTGTGCACCAATCCCAGCATGCAGCCCCCCATTCTGTGATGCCATCAGGGGTGGGAAACACCAGGGGCTGGAATCCCCCATGGGCGAGGAGGAAGAGAAGCATTGCTCTGGTCCCATGGAATGGAGGGCACCCCCATCTCTGAGAGCCAACATGGGGGTCCTGGGATGCAGAGAGAGGATCTTGACCCAGAGATTGAGGAGGGTCCCACTTGTGTCTCGTCAGTCATCTGGTCCGGAAGGCCGCCTCGCCTGCACCCCCTCATTTCTATCCGCAGCCAGCCCCTGAGCCCATGGGGCCCTGCATCACCCTGAGGTGGGCTAGTAGGAGCTCTAGAAGTAGGGCTCATGGGAGATGCTGCTCCTCCTCCTCCCAGGGGCACCCGGTTTTAGGCAACAGTCACCAAGGCATGCTCGCCCACAGTGTTCCCCCCAAGGTCACAGAGGAGGTCAGGGAGAGAACAGGTGAGCACTTAATCAAGGAGTCACGGGTGGCTGGAAAGCGTCTCAGGGCAGCAAGAAGGGGCCAGGAGGAGGGGAGGGGTGCCTCTGTGGGTGCTTCCATGTCACAGGAGGTGGCAGCTTAGACACTAGGGTCCCTGCCTCAGATGAGGCTCCTGGGAGCTGCCTCCTCCCACCACCACCACCAGTGATCCATCCCAGACAGACCCTCAGAGGCCACCCCAGCCCCTGGCTGCCCCTGGGAGCGGGAGGCAGGAGGGGACCAGGCCGCCCTCCGGGGTCCCCCCCTCCGCACTGACTCCGCATCTTGATGTGCTGGGAGACCTGGATCAGCTCCATCTCTGTGGGCATGTAGCCCAGCGTCCGCATGCAGGCGCCCAGCGCCCGGTAGCCGATGTAGCCGTCCCGGTCCGTGTCGAACTCCTCGAAGGCGGCCTGCAGCTCTGCAAGAGGGTTAGGTCAGGCCCTGGCCGCCAGGCTCCGGGCGACCCCCAGTCCCTCCAGCTGAAAAGAGCCACTCACCCTCCAGTTCTCCAGGGCCCAGCTCTCGGTCCTGCAAGGAAGAGCCAGCAGGTCCCAGGCCAGCCAGGGCCTGTGGGCACCCCCCACCCCACCCTGCAGGCAGCCTCTGCCCACCATGGCTTCAGAAAAGCCCAGGGGCAGGGCCAGCCCACAAAGGTAGGAGATGGTAGGCCCCAGAAAGACAGTCTTCCTCCCTGGGCACCCCCTCCGCCCCCCTCCCCCTCCCCTCCCCTTCAGAAACTTGCCTTTTAGCCCAGCCCCACAGCCAGGAGGGGTGGGGACCCAGAGATCTTCACCTGCCCTAACTCTGCCCACAGAGTCCTGAGGACTGGGTGGCATGAGTCCCACCCCCTCGGGGCCCAGCATCCCCAGCCCCTTCTGACCTTCCCAAAGATTCGGTTGAGGAGGGGCCCATATGTCCTCTGGGCAGCTTCATGCTGGGGGTCAGGACGGTGCCGCTGGGACTGGTGTCGGGGAGCCAGCCTGGGGGCTGCAGGGGTTAGCTCCTCCTGCCCCTGCCCAGACCTAGGGGGCATCTTGTTGCTGCCCTGTGCTTCAGGGTCCTGGGCAGGGGTCTGCTCCCCAGAGTCCTTCCGGGGCCCTCGGTGACCCCTCTCTTTCTTGCTCCTCCTGCTGGCCACGGCTGGCCCCTGAGCCCCACCCCTGGGAGCCTCTGCCTGCCCAGGGTGCTCTTGGAAGCCAGGGGCCAGGTCTGAGCCTGGAAGGCTCCTCTCCTGCTCTGTGGCCATGAAGGGAGGGTCACTGGGCTCTGAGATGTGGCACAAGGGTACCCTGGCTCTTGGGACCCATAAAGCTGCTTATGCCCCCGTACTGAGAGCTGAGGGCCTGGGCTGGGCCCTGAGTGGAGATTAGCTTAAGTAAGGTTGGCATCCCTGGCCCTAATCCCTGCCTTCTCCGGGGTGGGAGTGGGGGGGTGGGTGGCCAGGGCAGAGGCAGGTAGGTGGGCAGAATGGTCCCCTGTTGGCAGCACAGGGGAGGGGCACCATCTGCCTCGAACGTCTGCTCTGTCACTCAGTAGCCGGGACACGGAGCCTCTAACTTCCCCAACCCTTGGTTTCCTCATCTCTGAAATAGGGAGAAGGTGGGGGCCTGGATGGTCACTTGGCCCTGCTGGGCTGGGGTTAGAGTTTCCCAGAGACAGCCCCATGAATGATTGATGTCCTGTCGGCTTGGGTTTCATGCCCGCCCGCCTTAGCGCCGCCCGGCACCCTGCACCAGGCCCCGGCGTGGGCCCTGAGGGCAGCCGGACAGCTGGGCAGGCAGGTCCGTGAATGTCTACAGCTATCACCTGCATCTCCCGGGTAAGCAGGCCTCACCGCTCCAGGCCTGGGACTCACTTCCGATCTGACCAGGGCTGGGCCTTGTACAGAGAGGTCTCCCTGAGCATCCTGGGGAGAGGCTGGGGGTTGTGGACAGGAGGTGGAACCAGGAGCCACAGGACAGGAGACAGCCTTTCTGGGCTGCGGGTTCCCTCCGAGGGTGAGGCAGGCAGCAGACTTCCTGGGTAGCAGGTCCGGTGCCCCCAACCACCTCCCTCATCTTGCTGCTTTGTGTCTGCATCTTTCTGTAAGTAGCCACCCCCACCCCGGCATGGGAGGGGAGAGAGGGTCTGCTTCATTCCAGGAAGGGGGGTGGTGCTGAACCTGAGACCCCGCCACACACCTGTTGCTCCAAAGAGGGGGGTGTTTCTGTTCCAGACTCCCTGTCACCCCTTGAATGCCTGTGGACCCACGGACCCATGGCCCTTCCCCCTGGAACCGCAAACCCTTGCGCCTCCAAAAGCGAAAGACAAGGGGGCTTTGCAACGACCCACCCAGTGTCTCTGGAGCTGTGTGCTCCGACCTCCGCCTGACCACCTCCCGCCCTGAGTCACCGAGTGGGTTCCACTAGATTCTCTCACCTCCGAGAAAAAGAGGTGCGCGGAGACCCGGTGGGAGGTGAGTTAGGCTTCCTGTATTTTACATGGCGGCTGTTTAGGTCTGGGTTTGAGACTTGGCATCTCTCTCCCTACTTGTGACCTTGGGCAGGTCTCTGACCTCTTGACCTTCCTCATCAGACTGGACGAGGCCCACTTCCAATCCCTTTAAAAACTCCCTCCCACCCAGTCCATGCTAACTCAGGAAGACCCTCCAGGACAGGGCAGAACTGCCTCGAGGGTTCCCAAGACTGTCACTCTTACTTCCTGGAAGCAGGAAGCCTCCTCTTTCTCCCAAGGAGCGGCTGCTGGGTTCAAACTGCTGACCTTGCGGTTAGCAGGACAACTCGTCACCCACGATGTCACCAGGGCACCTTTCAAGACCCTGGCACACACTAATTACCAGGAGTGGGACAGTGGCCCCAGCGGCAGAGTATTTATACGTCGGGCCGCTAACTGCAAGGGCAGCAGTTCGAACCCACCTGCCGCTCCTCGGGAGAAAAAGGAGGCGGTCTGCTCCCATGAAGAGTTCCAGCCTGGGAAACCCACAGAGGCAGGTCCACCCAGTCCTCTAGGGTCCCCGTGAGTCAGAGTGGAATCGATGGCGATGGCAGTGAGTGTGGCTTTACCCGGAGACACGCAGCCCCCTCGCTCTGACACCCATTCGCTCCTTCCCTAGGTGCTCACTCTCTGCCCAGTGAGCCACTGGGGACCGCAGATGGACAGATGGAGGTTGCCGTGGGAGCCAGCCTGGGCGCCACGGGCCGAGGAGGGCCCCACAGGGAACTGGACGATGAGGACTACTACCCCCAGGGGGGCTGGGACACGGTCTTCCTGGTGGCCCTGATGCTCCTGGGGCTCCCGGCCAATGGGCTGATGGCCTGGCTGGCCGGCTCACAGGCCCGACACGGAGCGGGCACGCGGCTGGCACTACTCCTGCTCAGCCTGGCGCTCTCTGACTTCCTGTTCCTGGCTGTGGCGGTCTTCCAGGTCCTGGAGATCCAGCAGGGAGGCCACTGGCCTCTGGGGACGGCCACCTGTCGCTTCTACTACTTCCTGTGGGGTGTTTCCTACTCCTCCGGCCTCTTCCTGCTGGCCGCCCTCAGCCTGGACCGCTGCCTGCTGGCCCTGTGCCCGCAATGGTACCCAGGGCACCGCCCGGCCCGCCTGCCTCTCTGGGTGTGCTCGGGCGTCTGGGTGTTGGCCACTCTCTTCAGTGTGCCCTGGCTCATCTTCCCCGAGGCTGCCGTCTGGTGGTATGACCTGGTCATCTGTCTGGACTTCTGGGACAGTGAGGAGCTGCCTTTGAGGATGCTGGAGATCCTGGGAGGGTTCCTGCCCTTCCTCCTACTATTGGTCTGCCATGTGCTCACCCAGGCGGCAGCCTGCAGGCCCTGCCACCGCCAGCCATGTCCCCCGGCCCCCCGTGGCTTCGCCCGAGTGGCCAAGACTGTCCTGTCGGCCTATGTGGTCCTGCGGCTGCCCTACCAGCTGGCCCAGCTGCTCTACCTGGCCTTCCTGTGGGACATCTACCCCGGCTACCTGCTCTGGGAGGCCCTGGTCTACTCCGACTACCTGATCCTGCTCAACAGCTGCCTCAGCCCATTCCTCTGCCTGCTGGCCAGCGCCGACCTCCGCACCCTGCTGCACGCTGTCCTCTCCTCCTTCGCGGCTGCGCTCTGTGAGGTCACGCCAGCCCAGTCGCAGACCCAGGGGGACTCTGAGGGACAGACACTGCCAGGAGCTACGGTTGAAGACCAGCCACAGCTAAACCCCACAGCCCAGCCACAGGCAAATCCCACAGCCCAGCCACAGGAAAATCCCACGGCCCAGCCACAGGCAAAATCCACAGTCAAGTCACAACCGAACCCCACGACCCAATCGCAGGTGAACCCCGAGACCCAGCTACAAGTGAACCCCATGGCCCAGCCACAGGAGAACCCCGAGATCCAGACCCCTGACCCTGCTGCCAGCTCAGCCCCGGATCCTGGTGATAATCCCACCCCAGGGACCCCGGAAGCCCCTGCCACACCTGCTGCCCTTGAGGGGGAAAGCCCCTGCAGTGCCCCACTGGAGGAGACCCCCAGTGCAGGCCCCAAGTGAGGGCCCAGGGCAGCCCGGGGCACTGGGGCAGCGAAAAGTCAGGCATCGGAGGCAGGGCTGTGGATGATGAGGACAGGTACCCCGAAGTCCCATGAAGGGCCTGGAAGGGGGATGTGGGAGAAACCAAGGCAGCCAGACGTCCGTCCCAGACAGTCTGGGGTGGACGTCCCCTCATCCTGACCCCCTCACTTGTTTCTAGTTGTCCTCGGTCAGCAGCCCTCTCCCCAGCCACGGCTGGCTGTGTCCTGCTCTGTTTCCTGCTCTGGCGCCCCTGCCCCGCTGAGCATTTAACTGAGCAGGCTCCACCTGGCCTCCCTCCTATCCTGAGCACCAGGAAGTCCCTGCAGGGAAGTGAGGGAGCCAGGAGCCACCGTCAGCATCCTAGGAGCCCAAGGTCCACAAGCTGACCTGGCACGGTGAAGGTGGAGACACCAGCTTTGCGCCCCACCCACCTCCCGGTGAAGCTGGAGCAAGGCTTCCCTCCACTAGGTGGCCAAGAGCAGAGCCGGATTCAAACCTGGCTCTGCCGTGTCCAGTTGGGTCACTCTGGACGGACAATTTCAGTCCAGAGCACCTGCACCTGCAAAGTGGGAGGATGAAATAGGAATGTGGGGGAGGAGCCCAGCACTGGGTGGGGACTCAGTGAGTCCCCCTCTCCTGTCACTGGGGCACAGAAGTACCCTTCTGGGGTTGGGGAAGGGACCGGGAAGCTGCAGATGGCCAAGAGGGTGTCTAAGGTCCTCTTAGCTTTAAGATGGATTACTGGTACCCATGACAGGCAATCAGGAGGCGGGGGATGATGGGGAAGGGGGGGTTGACCCACCTGTGCTTCAGGGGTCTCCACAGGACTTCCAAGTCTGATGCTAGTGCTCAGCCAGGGTCCACTGTCTGCCCTCCTGGACAAACTGAGTACAGAATGCCTGGTCCCCATGCCTTCCCCCATCCAGGCCCCTTCTGTGCGCAAATTCCAGGGATCCAGGCCGGAAGATGTCCTGGCAAGGATAGTTCTGGGTACCAAGGAGCCCAGAGAGGGTCAAAGTCTTTCCAGAGGTCACACGGCATCTCTGGGCAGAGCCAGCCTCTTCCCGCTGCTACTGCCAGAAACACTAGGAAAGGCTGAAGGTCCCACGCCACCTCCCTCCCCTGGCACCCAGCCCACCTACTTATCACAAGCCCCAGTGCTCCAAAACCATGTCCCTCATCCCCTCAGCATCCCCACTCTCTCAGCCCCGGGGCCCTCTGCAGCTGAGAGATGCCCGGTTACAGACGTCGATGTGGTGGCAGTGCCTGTCCCATGGGTGCAGTCAGCTCTGGGCTCAGGCTCTCATGGAGCTCCATTTTCTACCTCTGTGAAGTGGGCACGAGAGCTCACCTTGTAGGGCTCCCACTGTGATCTTGACGTGGGTCACCTGCTCGGTGGTGGTGGTTGGCGGTGGTCCGGCCCCGCACGGCAGCGCTTCCTAATGCAGCCATTGTAGACACCGAGGCAGGCAGCCGACTCGGCAGTCAACAGGTTTTTGTTTTTTGCTGGGAATTAGGTGAAGGTTTATGGAGCTCGTCAGTTTGACCTTCAACAATGTAGGCGCATCCTGTGTCACTTCACCCATCTCAGACCCCTCAATGGACCCGTCCCTCATCCCATTCCCTCCCAGTACTTCCTCTTTCCATTCTCCCTTCTCTCCCGTCTCCGCGTGCCCGCGGCCCTCTGGATCCTCAGTGGCAGATTATTCTAACACAGGAGTGAGTTCAGAGCCAGACCTGAAAGGTGACTAAGGGCACAGACTTGGGGGGAGGCCACCTGTCTCTATCCAATCAGTAAGCCTGGTCGCTATTATGATTCTGAGTTCTGGTCCACAGTCCTCTACCCCCAACCCCCACTCTGTCCAGGGCCTTCTAATGGGATCCCTTTCAGAGCCGTTGGCAGCTGTGGCTGGGCACCATCTAGTTCTTCTGGTCTCTGGCTGTGAGACAGATGTCTGCGTGGTCCATCCGTCCATGAGACTCCTTGCTTCCACGTGACTTCCGATTTTCCTCACTCTTCTTTCCTGCGCACAGGGAGAGACTCACATGTGCTCCATAGAATTCACTATTAAAAAAAATGTGACTTAGGTGAAGGTCTGCAGCGCTGATGATTCAACAATTCAGACCCATTTTGATTTAGCTCATCCATTCCTATCACCGTCTGTCTACCGTCCTGGCCGCACTTCCTCTTTAGTGTCCTGTTTCCCTTCCTCCTCTGACGTTTGTCTTGGGTAAATGCTGCCCTTGTGATTTCAAATGCCTGGTGGTCCTCACATAGGGACCTGACGGTCCCACTCATCTCCATCCAACCAGGAAGCCTGGTCTCTTTGATGACTTTGAGCTTCTGTCCACAGCCTTCTCCCAATCTCTCCCGGCGTTGAATAGGATCCTTTTCAGACCCGTTGGTGGTGGGACGTGGGCACCATCCGTGTCTTCCGGTCCCAGGGTTGTGGAGACAGATGTTTTCACGGCCCATCAGTCCTTTGCACTCACTGTTTCCTCGTGACTTTGGATTCTCCTCCCTCTTCTTTCCTCCGGGAGCACCAAAGGCCCCAGTCCTCACTCCTCAAATCAGGGTGCAGAACTCTGTCACGCCATTCGACCTTGGTGTCCCCCCAAGATGAAGCCAACAAATCTTTATTGAGCACTGGCTCTGGGCCTCTCCCCAGCCTTCCATTTTTAGAGACGCAGCACGAGTGGGGTGAAGGCGTGGCCCCTGGTGCCTTTCAAGGTCACTTTGGATCATGGTTCCACTGGTCATGGTCACTGTGACCTTCAGCAGGTGGCTTGGTCTCCTGGTGACCCAGTTTCCCCATCTGTCAGATTGCTGTTGGCTGCCATCGAGTGGGCTACGACTGACCACAACCCATAGCAACACTCCCCAGGCCTACACCCTCCTCCCAGCGGTGGCTGTGCGTGAGCCCCTTATTGCAGCCCCCATGTCCATCATCCCGCTGAAGGCCTGCCTCTGGACAGGGCAGCCTCTCAGTCTATTGTACGCTGAGCCGCTCGCTATGAGTCGGAACAGGACAGACTCAAGGGCAACACCACCAACACTGTACCAAAAGGAGTCCTGGTGATGGAGTGGGCTGCTAACCACAAGATCAGCAGTTCAAATCCACCAGATGCTCCCATGGAGATGCAGTCTTGGAAACCTGTCCCATAAGGGTGCTATGAGCCAGAACCGTGATGGCTATGGACAGTCCATAGTTACTTTACCAAACAAGATGTCCTTCTTCAGGGATGGGACACTCCTGATCACATGCCCAAAGCACTGGAGACCAAGGCCCACCAGCCTTGCTTCTAAGAAGCATGCTGTTGGTACTACCTCCTACTCGAGGTTTGTGGAGGGGCTGCTGGATTAGAACCGCCGGCCTTTCAGTTAGTAAAGAGCTCAACCACAGTATCACCGGGGCTCTTGGCACATGGGAAGTGCCCAGTAATTGTTACCCCAACAAGTTGGTTCCATCATTGGGACCGACAGATCTCACACAGGCCTGAGACCAGTGCTGGGTCACACGGCACATCTGACTCCCCCATCTCACTCCCCACCTGCTTTGCTGGAGGGGACACTCCCCAGGGTCCGGGGCCAGGGCTCTTCCCCCTTAGAGGATTTTGCTTCCTTCTCCCAAGTAGCGATCCCAAAGCCTTTCCACCTTGGCAGGGCCATCAAGGAATACAGCCTTGGTATCAGCTGCTGGCCCCACCTGTGCTCCATTCCAAACCCTGCCTCTTGGGGACTGGGCCAGCCCCCACCCCCACCCCAAGATTCCTTGTAGGAATTACACTCCTGATGGGTTATTGCTCTGCAAGAGAACCCCAAGAACGGCAGCTGGAGGAATCGGTGCCCAGCAGGGGTTTGCAGGATGAAGAGGGGGTTCTCCTGGCAGTCCATGGACCAGGGAATATTCACACCCAAGGCCAAAGGGCATGAAGGGTCACAGTCCCCCACACTTCATCCCCAACACAGCCCAAAGGATGGGGCCCCTGTTGCCTTCTGGGAAACTTGCTCCCGCAGGGGCGAGCGGTCAGGCTCTGGTCATCAGGAGGACCAAGTGCTGACCCAGCATTGTGAAGACGAACACATTTCAATACGACATTCCGTGCCACTCAAGGCTGTGCTGTCATTCATTTGCTCCTCCAGCGTGGGTTCATTGAGCACTTACTATGTGTCAGGGCTTGTTCTACTGGTGCTGGGGACAGAGCGGGGGCCAAGGCAAAGTCCCTGCCCTTGATTTGCTGGCACCCTACAGTAAGGAGGCAAAGGGCAAACCCACAAAGAACCCCGTAACGTGCTGCCCAGAATGTGAGCTCTATCAGTGTTTCCCAGAGTGAGAACACTGGCCCCTGGGGTGGGGGAGGATGCTGCAAGGCAGATACCTACACTTTATCTGGAATCGTGGGCCACGTTACAAACGTTTTTCATTGCCCTGAGAACACCGAGTAATTTTTTCTTTTTTTCCCCTGGGAAGGGGACAGCCAGCCAAGTAACGTTGGAGGTCTATGGTCTACAGGGTGACCCGCTGAGAGAGTGCTCAGAGGGGGCCAGAGGAGGGGCAGACAGTTAGAGAGGGACCTGGAGGAGGTGAGGGATGGAATCTCTTTGAATCAGAGGGAAGAGCTTCCAGATGGATGGGGACAGAATCTGCCAAGGCCCTGGAGTGGGAATGAGGCTGGTGAGTTCCAGGTACCAACTGGTCCGTGTCACTGGGCCACATGCAAGGAGGGGCAGCAGTAGGTGGTCCTAGTAGTGGGCAGCGATGGACAGACCAGGGCAAGGGAGCCATGGATTTTATTTCAAGAGAGGCAATGGGGAGCCAGGGTAGAGTTTAGAGGGAGGAAACTACTATGTGGTTGGGCTTTACACAAACCTCCTGGCCAAAGAAAGGGGGAGGGTGGGCTCCCTGTTCCCACTTCCAAGCCGCCCACACTCCTGTCCCCAGCTGGAAGGACCACCCACTCCATCCCGTCCCAGGTTT